GTTTCTTTCCTATCTCATTTTAGTTTCTACTTACATTCATCTACTCTACGTGAATATAATTTGAGACAATACAGCACCTCATTTTTCGGATTCCGCAGAGAGCATCGAACTACGTACGAGCGATCGTGCGGAGGTCCAACTTCTTTGACTACCTGAAAGAGTTGAAAGTTCAAACTTGTAGAAACAATGAAAGCCAGTTACGCACCTCGAATTCCACATTCAGCTTCATCTGCAGAGCACACTCATGCACCTGACTAATCACAGATTTCTGCTTGTGTTTAGGAACATTTTCACTATCAGCTGAGCCTTCCTAAAGTTTCTTACTGAGTAAAAATCTAGTACAAAATGAAAATATATAATTGCAATTCCTGCAACTCACCGCATGCTCCACTGCTCCCTCTGTGGTCCCATTCGTCATTCCTTCCTCGGAGGTCGACTTTTGAAGTGAGGCTTTGCGCCTTTGCTCATCTAACTTCAGCTTAGCATCTAGAGCTTGAATATGTGGACCAAGATATCCCAAACACTGAAAAAAAGCTATGTGATTCACCCAGTCACACTGGAATAAGACTGATCAGTACCTGAGCAGCAGCATTAGCTTTTGCCTGCGCAAATGTACTTCCTATGCCCGTAAACACACGACCAGGACCTATTGCAACGCTAACCATACAAAGCCTTTCACCAGGTGGCTGCAGTGGGGGGTAAATAGCCCCTGCACGCGTTGTCGGTGGAACCATGGCAAATAACGGATTGACAGGAGGCACTGGTCCAATCAGTGGCCCTCAAAACGATTAATTGGAAAATCAACTTGTAGTAAAAATAAGCAACCTTAGAAAACTACTTACCACGTTGTATTCTCGGTGTTGCTTGAAGCAAAGATGGAGCAAACGGCTCAGGAGGAAAATATGCAGGTCGGTCGAAACTGTAAACAACTTTTCACTCTATATTTAGCTACGAAGCCATCTATACAGCATGAATATGGACTCACCCATTTCGCACATCACTGCAACTGAGCGGAGAAGGAGTGAGCGCGGAGAAACGGGGCTAAAATGCACCGTAATCAGATTCATAACTTCTGGATATAGCTAACCCC